CCCATTCTAGTCCATGTAGAGTGTAGCCGGTGAATGCAGACACACGCAGTCTTGTGTTATCTTGATGGAACATTGCCTTTTTGCGTTGGAACTCAGTTCGACATTTTTCCTTGATAGCAGCGTCAACATGGACCAGCATCTCACTGTACACCATATTGTAGAGGGTTTTTACCTTTCACCAGATACTCTTTCTCAATAATATCTCACCAGATACAAAGCATGATGTTTTTGTTAGTCAAATTGCGCTTTGCGACGCTGCTGATGGACTCACCGGGCGCAGACCAACCTCCTTTTCAGCCTGTGTTGTTGAAGTAAATCCACTTTTCGTCACTCCAGAATTTTGTCCTTGCATTGATATTTGAGCAGATTAGTGCAATCCCAAACACGTCTCTCCTTATCTGCTTGAGTCAGCTCATGCGATGCATAGTGCGACTAATGGACATAATACTAACATCTAACTCCTTAGCGAGCTCCTGAGTGGTTGCATACTGATCTTCTTCCGCAAGTTCTCGCAGGTGGGCCTCATCAACATCAGCAGACCGGCCAGACCGCTGTGCTTTTTTAATCATAGTCTTTGTTTTTGAACTTTCGGTACCAAACCTTCACAGTATCATATGATACAACATCAGTACCTAAAGCTGTACACATGATTTCATGACATTCTGTGGCTGACATTTTACAACAAAACTGAGTAAATAAATGATGGTTCTAATCTGGTAGCATGATAGTTCTATTTCAGACACCTTGTACTTAATGATAACGATATGTTTTATAAATTTCACAACACAGTGTTCTAAAGCAAGTCTCTTTCGTTCAAATGCCAAAAATCGTATGACAAAATATGATTAAATGGGCCAGTGCGAATTGGTTGCACATGCGATAATTCGTGGTGGCGAGAAACTTCCTCTAAACCCCAATATAAAGATAAACAAGAATGCATTGATAATTTGAAGAAAAAAATATCTTTCTAAAATTATATTGAAAAATGAAAAAAAAAAAAGTCTGATGTGTACACCACATGACTTCCTTGTACGGAATATTAAATTATACGCATTTTTTCTTGCATTTCATTTTAACTTATTAAATTGAATTAAACCTACTTCGCCGAACACCGCATAAACCACAATAGAATAAATGCATTCTTTAAAATTCACTTTGTTTACCACAGCGACACTATGGCGCTAGGTTCACTTAACAGTATTATATTTCGTTCATATTATAACTCAGAATGCACAAAATTTATATCATTTAAAGAATTATCTAATCGTTGCCACATGTTCTATTCAAATACTATAATAAAGCTATAACGTTGTATAAAAGAAATTAAGCAAACAAAACAAAAAAGAAACAGTTTTCACAGACGATTGAGTATTTCTCATTCAATTAATTCAGTTTTCATTTCGCGACAAAGCAAAAATACATAAAAACTCAAAACATCTGTATTAAAAATTACGAAGTAAATCTTAAACGCTTATTTCCTCGAAAAAATTCCAGAAAGGATTAAGCATGATTTAATTGGCAATAAATGAAGGCGTTATCTTTGTTGTTGCGAAGCTAAGTTTCTCTAGATTGGCAACAAATCCGCTATCCTGCTGTTTCAAATGTAAACAGAGCAATGGCCGCCATCAAAAACATTATTAGGCTCAGCGGCACTTAAACAAATTTTAAAATTGTTGATAATTCTAAAAATATCGCATACAGATTTACTAAAGGCATAAAAACCTTAACCGGAAGATAAGAACAACATAATTCAATCATTTTTAAAGCAAAAAATGTACAATTTAAAACATATAAGCGTAAAGAAACTGAGATTACTGAACCGGGTAACAGAGTGGATATATATATATATATATATAAATATATTTATATACGTTTGGTGCGGCCGATTGCAACCAAAATACGAGGTGCACATCTATATGTTATAGCAGTCCTATATACAAAATTTCAACGTTCTGAGGCTACTCGTTTTTGAGTTATGCGAGATACGTACGCACGTTCGTACAGATGCCACGAAAAATTCTCTTCAGAATTCATTTTAAAGCAGTTTTATAATTTTTTTTTTCAGGAAAAGAGTGTTTTATTCTGTCTTTACGTACAGATATCACGGAAATGCATCCTTAAATTGCATTTGAAAGAGTTCAAAATGGGATATTTTCGTTGAAATATGCTGCTTGAAACTTTTCGCGATTACAATACTTCCTTTTTACTTCGTACAAGGAAGTAAAAGGATATTTTAGAATGTTTGCTCGACGACAAAAAAAGGTCAACATCTAGGGGGTGGAATTGTTTCGGAAATTTAAAAATTAAAATCTTAAATAACAAAACTTACAAAAATAACAAAGAAAGCTAGCTGTGCATTTTAGGTAATTTATAATCAGATAAAACACCATCATAATTTCACATAAAAAGACCTTTCTTAGCCACCTCTTTTGAAAAATTAAACAATTCTTTATAGATACTGTGAGTAAAGCTGTTTTGTTAAATTTAAAATAACGATCTTCATATCATATTTATTTAAATGTAATGTATGTGATATAGATGTGAATATAAGTTATTTAAAACATTATTTAAAAACTATGTTGTAATATTGAATCAGAAAAGAAACACACTAATGTGCATTTTATAATTAGATCAAAAAGCAATCTTAGGTAAGATTAAATTCTGAATAAAAACTGTTGTTTTCAAGGGCAAATGTTCAAGCTTCTTTCCTTTGGTAGCAGGAGGAAAGAATCACCATACATGTCCAAAACTGTATCAGTCTAAGGTTGTTTTTTTTTTTTTTTTTTTTTTTCCCCACAACTTTAAAAAGTTGTTATAATAGATTTCTTAGAAGTAGTAATAGAATTTTCCCTGTTAGTATGCAGGTGAACTACAACTTTTAAGAAAATGAAACTTTATGTAAATAAATTAAACATACAACATTTTTCTATTATTTAAAAATTAATGAATAAATGTTATTTACTGTTTAAACATTTAATATAAAATGCATACAGCAGTAACAATTATTTCTTTCAATCATCTCTTTAAAATTATAGTTATTTTTTGCGCACCATTCATTTTTAGATTGTTTCTTCAAATTAAAAATGCTAATATCTTTCCTGTGAATTGTGTCCCTGCGGTCAGTGTATGCATGGCTGCGTCATCACTTCTCGCTTCTTCTTTCAGAGGGAAAAGGTCTATGAACTACCCTTCTATTCTAAGTCCTGGCACATAATAATATGATACATAGTGCCAAATCTGATTTTATTGCTTTATAATGATGATGATATTTACTTGTGTTATAAAAATAATAACATAAATATCCTACATTATAAAAGATTCATTTAAAATATTTTTAATTTTTTAAAATGGATTACTTATTTTTTCTTTTGATGCCAGGCTTTTCTAAATTACGGACTGTGGGCATTTATCTCATTTCTCTATTGGTTAATCTTACACACCTCCTTAGGAATAAAAGTATACTTTTTACTGAGCAAAGATGATGGTCGCAAAAGGATGGTTGATGAATAATCAATTAGTCGCTGCATTTCAGTTATCTTTCCTGGTGACACAAAAGTGTTAATTTTTTCTTTCTCATCCTCAAATTTTTGGTCAAATGATTTCAGAAGTTGTGAGCAATCAACACAATCCATTAAATGACAGTGTATCTTTGTAAGTGACAGTGTAAAACCGCATTGGGTTCAATCGGAAATCGTTATTTACTGACTGGCATCGGTCTCACAGCTTTAACTTAATTCATCTTGAGAGATAGTGCCAATGGCTCAGTGTTGTAAAAAGCTAAATGTGACCTAATATGCGAAATCATATGTAATCATAAAAATGCATAGTAAATCATTGTGATGTACAAATATTTACATTGAGATTGAAAAATAAATCCTAGCCTACAAGGGGAAAAAATATTTAGAGAGCAAACTAAAGAAAATAAATTAAAAATCGAAATAAAAAAATGAAAACTCTTGAGTAGATACAAAAGCAAAACTGTTTAAAAAGGCGAGCAAAGGACTTGCAACTATTGCTGCATTCAGACGGCAGCATAAGGAGCATAAAGGCATAATCATAAGGGCATAAAATACGGGAGTTCCATTCACACCTACGAGACGGGGGTATAAGCTGTGGCCAATGAGAGAAGCTAAATTTGAACATGCTTGGATGTGTCTACACCTTTCGTGCGCTGTTTTCCAGCTCGATTGATTTCCCGCGCTCGCTCTGCTTGTTTTCGTTATTTTATGTAATGGCTTTTTCAGCTCACTGTTCAACAACAAAGTTCTACTGTTCAACAGAATGCTCTTTTATCTGCCCTTCTTACTAGGTGAAGATGGAACGGAAGAAGGTAAAAAAAGAAAAAGAACGAAATGGTCTAAAGATATTTTTTTGGGAAGACCAATACTTGGTTGTCATATTTCTGTGCAAAGCAGTATGGAATATTTCAGCATTGTACTGTAGTACTCTCTAAACTATAAAAATGCACATGCATATTTATACGAGGGCTGTAAATTAAATAATGGCAACATAGGTGTAAATCAATTTTTAATGAACTTACAAGTACAATTGCATTACTTTCCTTCTATGTAATTACCAGGAAAGTTTATAACCTTTAGCCAAATGTCGGGAAGCCGTTGTAGACCAGTGGCAAGGTGTTGATTGTTGATGTGAGCGACTGAGTGCCCTACTGCGTGGAGTACAGATTAAAAATCATGAAATTAGTGACCTCAGAGGGGTTCCTTTAACTTCGGAAACAGATCGAAATCACAAGAACTCATGTAGGGTGAGTAGGGAGGGTGTTCCAGGATTTCTCACTGCCACTGTCGCAAAAACACCACCACATTGTTTGCGACATGGCAACGAGTGTTGTCATGCAATACGATAGGGAGATTCTTGTGCAATAAATGTGGATATTTGCGCCACATAGCCGGACGCAGATGGTACTGTAGAAATCGGTAATAGTAATCTGCGTTGACAGTTTGTCCTTCAGGTACAGCATGTGTAAGAATCGCACCGTCCTAGTCGTATGCCATAATCAGCATAACCTTCACCCGACTGGGTTCCTGTCGAAATTTCTGTGGACGTGGCGAACCTTGGTGACACCATTCATTTAATTGACGCTTTAATTCAGGCTCATAGGCTCGTGCCCATGTTTCATCAATGGCGACAATACGCTGCAGAAATGCGTCTTCTTCATTGCAGTATCTCTCCAAGTAGGTGCCAGCCAGTGCATAACGGTGCCATTTCTGTACTTCAGTTAGTCGATGTGGAACCCAGCGGGAAGCAATTTTCCTCATGTTGAGAGCTTTCTTCATTATGCGCCACAGCGCATAACGGCCAGTGCATAACGGTGCCATTTCTGTACTTCAGTTAGTCGATGTGGAACCCAGCGGGAAGCAATTTTCCTCATGTTGAGAGCTTTCTTCATTATGCGCCACAGCGTTTGATGACTCAGACCAACCTCTAAGGATAATTCTTGAAAAGTCCATCGATGTTCTATGGTAAGGAGACCGATCAGGATGTCAATATGCTCTTGAGGAATGGAGGGCCAACCTGTGCGTTGCAAATCCGTAGTCTCATTCCGACCCGAACGAAATGTTTGAACCCATCGTGCTACTGTCCTATAGGGTAAAGCATTTATGCCACTGACTTCCACTAATCCTCAATAGCAATCTTGCATTTTTGCCACGGACAACCTCGATTTTAAGTCACGACCGCTGATCACCTTTTGAAAACATGCTTTAGACTGATGGAAACGAAAGTCCTCCCAACAACTACCCTTCAAACAGATCGACTGTTTTTTGCATTCTACACATCGACAACTGCGCCACCTCACCGCCATAACCTATTTGCGCATGCCCACCCTTCTGCGAGTTTCAAGGTTAAGTTGCCACTATTTAATTTACAATCCCCTATATATAAAGCCTTCTTCAATTTTTATACAGTCAAAAGTCGTTAATCCGGACTTGTCGGGACTTCGGCGATTCCGGATTATAGATCATCAGTTTAAATCTGGTACGATGGCATGCAGAAATTATAAAATAAAAAATATGAAACCGTAATTTATGAAATAAAGAACAATTAAGATCTAAAGGCTATCAAAATTTACAATAAAAAAGCTTAATGTTTATTTGTTTACTTTATTAAACATTTCTTTCAATGCAAGTTGTTTAAGTTGCTTCGTTTTATGTGATAATATTTTCTCTTTAATTCTATAACAGACATAATTTCTTCTTCAGTAAAAGTTCCGCTGTTCAAGACCTATAATTGCTGTGTCGAGAATACCGACTAATTTGTCAATCGAAATTTTTTCGTTTTCAATAACCTCTGTTTTCACTTTCTTCACTATCGGAAACGAATTATAATCACGAGGAATTTGATTTAAATCATATCAAAGACGGAGTACATCGAGATGAAATATTACATTTAGTAAGGAATTGTAAGCCAAATAAAATAAAAACATCTGCCCTGAAGATAAGGATAGTGCTGACAGATCTACTTCCAATTCACTGCGCGCCGCGTCGTCTCTCTCCCGCAGAGCAGCGTGAAATTGATAAACAGATTTCGGAATGGTTAGGGAAACGAAGGTTATGCCTTCATCCATTTTTTGCAGCAATTCCACATTTTGTTTAATGGACTTCGAAACATACTTTCGCTTTGTAGATCCTTTACATATTAGTAAATATATATCGGAAATTCTATTTAACATAATCGAAAGTTCAAGCTTACTTTTATAAAATTGCTCTAACAGTCTGCAAAAAAATAATAAGCCGGATCCAATTCGAAGATTAAGGAACAACGCAATCTGCAACGATAACTGAATTAAATAATTTTAGCTTAGCTTATACCGTCCATTATATATTAAACGCGCATGCGCAAACGTATTATGCGCATGCGCACACGCATATTCTTAGCCGTAAAGGTCTTACACGTATGCGTCAACGCGACGCATTCGCAGAAAGTTTGTAGCTTTAAAGTCCGGATTATATATCTTTCCGGGTTATGGGTGTCCGAATTAACGACTTTTGACTGTATACACTGCTCGACATTGAAAATGCAACACCAAGAAGGAGTGGCCAGAAATTTATGCAAATTTTAGAGTAGATGCACGTCACTGTGTTATGCGAATGATGTGAAATGCGCAGCTCTCCTACGCACGTGAAGTAAGGTATAAAGGAAGGAACGTGCAGAACAGGCAATATTTGTGTCGTTATTTCTGCCAGACAAATTATCGAAAAAAGTAGGTTTTTGTCCCAGAGGATACGTGTGATAGGAGAGAATGCCAGGCCGCTGTCAACGAAGGCACTTCCAGCAGATAGACGATTTTACGAGGGTTATGGTGACCGGACTGAGAAGGGCGGGTCGGTCCTTACGTCAAATCGCAGCTGATACCCAAATGAATGTGGGCACGGTTCATCGGCTATGGCGAACATGTTTGGAACAAGGAAATGTGGGAAGAAGGAGGGGTGCAAGTGCAGCCAGAGTGACGTCAGCACTCGTGGATCGACGCATCCGCCGACAAGCTGTGGCGGTCCCGCAAGTCACTTGTACCGCGATTCTGCAGCACGTGCAAGATACTCTGAATGTTCCCGTATCGACCGGAACCATTTCCCGTCGATTGGTTGAACGTGGCCTGCAGTCACGGCGTCCGTTAAGAAGACTGCCATTGACCCCACAGTATACACGGCAACGTTTAGAATGATGCCAAACTGGGGCGATATGGCTGACAGAATGGTGAAACGTCGTGTTCTCAGATGAGTCACGCTTCTGTTTATCCAGTGACAGTCGCCGCATACGTGTGTGGCATCGACGTAGAGACAAATCTAATCCGGCAGTAACTGGTGAACGCCCCCCCCCGCACGACAACGTGGCATAATGGTTTGGTGCGCTATTGCCTACGATTCCAGGTCACCTCTATTTCGTATTCAGGGCTTTATGACGACCCAATGATACTTAAATAATGTACTGCGGCCTGTGGCAATGCCCTACCTTCAGGGGCTGCCTAATGCAATTTTTCAGTAGGATAACACCCGACCACACAGTGTTCTCATCTGCCAACATGCTCTGCAATGTATACAGATGCTTCCCTGGCCACCGTGTGGGATGCGATTGAACGCCGTTTGCAGACTTTGCCCCTGCCTTGATCAGAAGATGAACTGTGGCAAATGGTTGAAAGGGAATGGAGAGCCATTCCTCGGGACACCATCCACACTCTTATTGACTCTATGCCTAGACGTGTTTCTTCGTGCATCGCTGTCCGCGATGGTCGTGGCCCTCTGGTCAAACTCTAGATAAGGGTGGGCGTGGCACTATGCTAATTAACTTATTAGTAAAGGAGTAGTGGTCACGTCCTCCGTCGCTTATCGCTTATCCTACTGAGCCGAAGGCATTCTCGCTCTGTATTCTGACTAAAATTATTTTGAAATAAAGATCATTTATTGCTGCTTGCTGTCTGTCTTTTTTCCAAATTTCATCACTTTCTGACCACTTGGTGTTGCATTTTCAATGTCGAGCAGTGTATAATTTCTCTTAGGAGAAATACGATATTCTAAATATGCCTAATTAAAAAAAAAAAAAATATTGAGCATAAGTGACAGATAGCCTGTATATAATAATTTTCCATTTTGCAGGTGTGAAAGCAGTTAAGGGGAAATCAGTACTTACCATACATTAATTTTTTTTTAGTTTTCAGTCAAAAGGAACATGTTTCTGTGCTTAGCACTCCTTATTCACTGTCACTATCGATCACTAATCACTACAGTAGTTGGCTGCAGGACCAGTATTAATTATCACTAGTACTAGTATACAACAACTGGCCACCATAACCAGCACCACAACTGGTACAATACTATAAAACGTTCACCCAACAATGTATTTTATGCTCAATCACTAAATACATTTTGCTGTGTTGCCAGCTGTTTGTATACATCTATTTCTAATAATTTGCATGTATAAGCCAGACCCCTGAATTTTATATGCTTTTTCTGAAAAAAAAAGGGGGGTTACACTCGAGAGACTACAGTACATAGTAAACACTAACTTTCAGGAATTTTTATGGATAATTCTGCAAACTGGTATGTTTACATCATTTGAGTAATTCAAATTAAACTCTGCTGTGAGATGTCATAGATGTAAGTTTTATCCACGTCTGTTGTCAGAAGTAATTACTTTTAATGATTTTTCATTTGCTGACAGATTATGACAATTCTTCACGCACTGGCAGACATGCATATTAAAGCACCAAAAAGAATTTAATTTCAACATACGCTGTCATTTCAATTTACGACCAGTATCTCAAAAGAAATTTCACATTGACAAAATTTTAGGTACCCAGGTCTTCAAATACAATAAAATTATAAACATTCAAATCTTATCCGGGAATTTCTACCAGAGAAATAGCATGAATTTAATGATCAAAATTCCATTCAAATGATAGTAATAAAGAGTGGATAATAATAACAAATACTATTCAGTCCTATTATAGTCCATGTTAGTATTATAGTCCATGTTATGAATTATGTGTGCTATTCAGTTTCATTAAAAGTAAATTCCTTTCATGGAGAACGTCATTAAAAAGCAGAATTAATACAAAACATCTGCAGGATTAATACAAAGCAGGACAATAAGACACAACATCAACAGGAGACAAAACTGTCTAGACTGTTGACTGTTGTTTTAAGGATATTTATTTCACTACATTTGTTTTTCCTTCTTGGAATTCATAAGAGCATTTTCTCAAAAGATTAATCGTTTATTACTTATACAAAGCTTACACCATTACATCGCTATTGTTGTAAGGATCCTAAGTTTTACTAACGTTTATATTATTTTAAATCTTTACTATCACTTCTTATTTTCTACTTCCGGCCAGAATTAAAAGCTTTAACTTATTTATGCAAATTTGTCTGGCGAACGCCAAGTACTTAAGTTGTGGCTTTTTGCCAAGCAAGAGAGAGGAAGGAGTTATTAGAAGCAGGCCGCTTGCCTTAGTAAGTTTTACTCGGTTGCTGGTTGCCTTCCAGGCCAGAGGTTTAATCCTCTTGATAATTTAAAAAACGTATCGTAGTGTTCAGTTCTCTGTACTACATACGGCTTTTTGTTAATATAAGGCCAATCTTAAAGTTAGGCCCTTGTATATTAATCCAAAGTTAGTTTTAGTTAGTATTTTTATATTCTTACGTTCGGACCACAAGTGGTTGGTCTCTGTATTCCGAAGTACGGAAATCGCTGTAAAGAGAGAAAAATAAAGGGTTTCGTATACCCTTCTGTGTGTATCCTGTCTACTTCACAATTTTATTGAACATAGCTTTAGTAAGCTCCCTGTTCCGAGTCAGGTCCATTCATGTTTCCAAGCAAG